GGTGGTATGTTCACAGCACAGCCCCTCAGGCGTACACCTGCCCAGCCCACTTCACGTCCCTGAAGGTGGTATGTTCACAGCACAGCCCCTCAGGCACACACCTGCCCAGCCCACTTCACGTCCCTGAAGGTGGTATGTTCACAGCACAGCCCCTCGGGCGCACACCTGCCCAGCTCACTTCATGTCCCTGAAGGTGGTATGTTCACAGCACAGCCCTTCGGGCGCACACCTGCCCAGCCTGTCCCTGAAGGTGCTATGTTCACAGCACAGCCCCTTGGGCCGCACACCTGCCCAGCCTGTCCCTGAAGGTGGTAGTTCACAGCACAGCCCCTCTGGGTGCACACCTGTCCAGCCTGTCCCTGAAGGTGGTATGTTCACAGCACAGCCCCTTGGGCTGCACACCTGCCCAGCCTGTCCCTGAAGGTGGTAGTTCACAGCACAGCCCCTCAGGCACACACCTGCCCAGCTCACTTCATGTCCCTGAATGTGGTATGTTCACAGCACAGCCCCTCTGGGTGCACACCTGCCCAGCCTGTCCCTGAAGGTGGTATGTTCATAGCACAGCCCCTCGGGGCGCACACCTGCCCAGCCTGTCCCTGAAGGTGGTATGTTGACAGCACAGCCCCTCGGGCGCACACCTGCCCAGCCCACCTCACTTCCCCACTCATGCTGCCCTGACCCAGCAGATGCTCTGTACCTGGCCTGGCACTAAAGGGAGACTGTGTGTGGCACTGTAAGGACGTAGCCGCTGGTGATGGCGTTACCCTCTGTCCCCTGACTCCAGGTGAGCAGGGCTGCGGGTTAGCTTGTGTGCATGGCTTCTCACTGGCCCTGAAGATTTGGGCTCCGGGAAGGGAGAGCCGTGGTGAGGAAGGTGCAGCTGACAGCACACCTGTTCTGAGACACAATGTGCAATCTTCTCAGAAGGACTTCCAGGCCCAGGGCCATGAGCAAGAGGACTGGACATGAAGGGCAGTGCCACGTGTACCAGCCACTGCTGGGCGGAGGGGGTCTGGGGGACACTGTCCACCACCATGCCTGGGGGCTGCTGGGCGGTGAAGTGAGGCCGGGGTGGCCTCCTCCGACAGCTGGGGGGGGGGGGGGGGGACACTGGACAGTAACGAGGAGGCTCTGTGCACCCACAGGCGGCTGGAAACTGTGCAGTTTATTACACGGGGCACGAGTGCCTGCTCCCCAGAGGGCCTCACACGTGGTCCACAGCTCAGGATGACGCCTACTCCGGGTCCTTCTCGCTGCCACCGGAGCCCAGACAGCCCTGCAACACACAGCAGAAGGGACACGGAGTTACCCCGAGGGCAGCCTGGCTCAGTTGCCAGCTAAGATGCAGTTAGAAAACCTCTGCTGTCGTTAAGTGTTGTCAAGTCAAGCCTGTTAACAACAGATCTGAGCCCCGTCCCATCCTGCGCTGCAGTCACTGTGTCAGCCCACCCGGCTGAGGGGCTTCCTCTCTTTCGCTGCCCCTCCACCTTCCCAAGCATGATGTCTTTTTCTGGGGAATATGCTCGCCTAGCATCATGCAATTATTGAGGAGTAATGATGTCAGTTTAAGGACTAAGGTGTATCTGCTTCAGCCCGTGGTCTTTCCGATTACTTGCTACACATCTGAGAGCTGGACAATGCATAAGGATGACAGAAAAAGAATTGATGCCTTTGAGCTGCGGTGCTGGAGAAGAACACTGAACATTCCATGGACGAACGGATACGTCTAGGAGAAGGTGCAGCCGAAGTGCTTTTTGGAGGCAGGAATGATGAGGCTTTGTCCCACATACTCTGGGCATGTCGCTAGAAGGTGCTAGTCCTTGGAGAAGGACACGATGCTGGGAAGGGTGGAGGGTCAGCGTAGAAGAGGAAAACCCTCAACCAGGTGGACTGACATGGTGACTGCTGCAATGGGCTCTTGTGTGTCAGGAAGTGTGAGGACGGCACAGGACAGGACTGGGCTCAGATCTTGTGTTCCCAGGGTCACTAGACGTCATACTTGACTCGATGGCCTCTAACAACAACAAGCAACATGTGCAAAGCACTTGAAACCAGGCTTCACCACCTCTGCCTCCAGGAGCACTCCGGGTGCACCTTCTCCAAGACATAGCTGCTTGTCCTTTTAAATGCTCCTGTGTACCTGAAGATGTGGAGACCTCGTCCCACACGTACCAACATCCCAGCGCTGTGCCTTTTACATCTGGGACGTCACACTTGCTCAGATTTGCACGATCTGCAGGCGAGCACGTCAAGCAGCCGCGTGTGGGGGGCACACGGCAGCTCTGTGTGACAGTCACTGGACACTTTGGAGCCTCCAGAGGAGCTCCCCTTGACAGTTCCCACGAGTGGGCAAGTCCTGTGATCCCGGCAGACCAGCCGCCCAGGCCTAGCCCCCAGCGCAGAGGTGACCGTGGCGGGGGCTATGACGGGCCAGCTGTGCAGCTGTGGTTGTTGTGTACCGTCGCGTCAGATCCTACCAACTGTCCAGCTGACCCTCCAGCGGGTTTTCAGAGGCAGTAAACTGCACAGGAGGAGACTGCCCGTCTTTCTCCTGTGGACAAGCTGATGAATTTGAACTGTGTACCTTTTTTTCCCTTCTCTTTTTAAATTTTATTTTATACTGGTTTACATACAAAGTTCATAAAGTTCACATACATTGTTTTTCACACTGGACCTTTCCCCTTTTCTTTACCTCTCCTTCCCTCCAGCCATCAACTTGTGTGACCCTATGTTTAGACCCCCTCCTCCCCTCCTTGGATCCCCATACACGCTCTACAATTAATGGTTTTATACAGTATTTGTCCTGATGGGACTGAGTTAGTTCACTCAGCAAACTGCGCTCCAGTCCCTGCCAAGTTAGGTAGTAATTTACAGAATCATTGCCCCTGCGTGCTGCGTAGCATTCCACTGTGGGAATGTACCATCATTTCTCAAGCCAGTCTGTCATGATTGGGCATTTGGGCTGTTGCAGCTATGGTGAATAACACTGCTATGAACACTGGTGAACAAGTCCCTTTCTGGGCCTCAGTTCTCATATTCTCAGGGCATGTTCCCAGCAGTGATGTCGACAGCTCAGTTCGGCACCACGGAGCCATGGTCTCGTGGGACACCCTGGTTGACGGGCTGACCAGCATGTTCAGGGCTCGGTTCTCCCTCCTCCTTGGCTACATGCTCCTCAGGTCTGAAAGGCCTCCAAGTGACCACCTAAGGCATGACGACTGGCCTCGGTTTGCCTGCAGTGGTCACACGGCCCTCAGAGTGGACGCGAGGCTGGGAGGGTGCACGTGGAGACCCTGAGCTGGTGCATGGGAGGGACCACCCCCGAGAAACCCGCTGGAGGGGGAGGAGGCGGGTCCGACTTGAGGGCAATGACCTGATTCTCAACAACATCAATAAAAAATAACATTTTTCAATCGCTCACAGTAGTTTACCAGTCTCCTGAGCAGCCTGCTGCAGAAGACGGTCTTCGGCCTGCAAGGCGGAGACTGACAAGCCTTCCACTCCGGCTCTTCAGGTTCGCTCTCATTGAGGTCTCGGAAGCAGTGGGACTCAATGATCTGCACACACAGGGGTGGACGGAGAGGCTGCTGAGGTTCAGGGGGAGCGGAACACCCGTCATGCCACCGTGATCTCCTTTCCTGGATGCGGTGCCCTGCCCCTAACCTCTACTGTACCTGGTGTGTCCCCCTCTATCTCTGCGGGCACCTGCACAGCAGGTAGGCCTCGGGCCACAGCTGCCCAGCATGGCCCCCTTGCTGGGAGGGGGCTGGGGGCAAGCCAACCCCATAAAAGCACTTCTGTGTGTTTCCTGTAAGTGGGGGCTGGCCTACGTCAGAGGTTTTCACAACTTGACCTCCCCCAAAAGATCCTTGAATAAACCTCTCTCTGTGAAAGTGCTAAGAACAGATACGCAGGCTTGCACGTTGGCCCTCCTACACTAGGGGCACCAGCAGGGCCTGGCCGGCCCCCAGGACAGTACCTCGTTCTGCCAGGGGATGGAGACACAGCCCGTGACAAACTTGGCGTAGAATTCCGCATCCCTGCTGTCCAGGTGCACGCCCTTCACAGTGGAGAACTGCTTGATTTCCCAGATGTCCTTGCAGTACAGGGCATGTGGCTGGACACAGGACAAAATCACCCACCAGGAGGTGGCCAAGCAGGCTGCACTTCCTCAGTCACAGATGACGAAATGGCCTGTCCCCCGCCCACCCCGTGATCACACACCCAGGCCCACCCACATCCCTCAGAGCAGACGGCACTGAGCACTGGGACACGTGTCCTCTCTCCCACCCAGCTCTCACAACCCCTGGCCCACCCACACTCCCTGTTAGAGTGGACGGCACTGAGCGTTGGTGTGGACGCGTGTCCTCCCCAGCCCGCTCTGGCCCACCCATGTCCCCTGGTAGAGTGGACGGCACTGAGCGCTGGTGTGGACGTGAGTCCTCTCGCCCACCTCACCCTGGCCCACCCATGTCCCCTGGTAGAGTGGACGGCA